AGTCAAAAACTGACGTTTATTTCCAAGAATAGCCGATTTTTCCTAGTGAATTTTCAACAGCAGTGATTATAGAATCACTCGCCACATGTGATTTTAGATGATCATTCCGAGCTCTTGTCCATGTAATTGATCACCTAATTAGTAAACAGACCCTTTCGAGATCGTATCAGAAAATGAATGCCAGGATACTACAAGATCGTACATATAAAATATTTAGTTTTTGAATTGAACAGGCTTACCGTTGCTCCATTGTACCATAATAATTAACTTGAAGTTCATCTATCTTTGAAAAGACCTACTGTTAAAAGTATAATTAGGGACACATGTGTCACTGCTATAATTCTCTTCTTTTTCGAACTCATTTGCATTGAAAATTCATGTTATGTAACTGGAACGTGTTATTCGAAAAACTTCAGCTTGAGGATGCTCATAGAGGGCAAAAAAAGCTTGGACACTAAGCTAAAAAAATTTGTTACGAATCTTATCAGGACGCTGGTTGTCTTTCGAGTACACATTCTCAATAGGATATATCTGAATGACGTCTTGATTGAAACGCAGTACAATGTGAATCAGAATCCAAGCAAGATTTGCAGCATTGTCCGGTTGGACGTTACCGATATGTGCTTTTTGAATCGATCCGGATTCACAGATAGTAACAAGCGATGAAATATTCTGAAATCATCTTCCATCTTTTTTTTGTGATAATCCTAAATATTCATCGATCGCACGTATCTTTCAGGGTTCGGCCGTTTTCGGAAAAAGTTAACACCTGTTCAGAACGTGTCGATTATCTGGAGTGAGAGTATTTCCGACTATCTCTCATTACTTCAAGTATTCGTTTCTAATTTCATGTATGTTGTACAAGAAATTACTCTAATCGAATTTATTTCTATAGAGCTAAAAAACAAAATTGAAACTATTCTAAAATAGAAATCCTACAGTTTTGCTTTCAGCGTGTCACAAATCTTGTACAGATAATCTAACTATTGTGACAAGATCCTGGAATTAGTATATTAATCCAAATCGAAGGAACCAAATCGTGAAAAATATGAAGAGTTCTCATCGGGAGAGAGACCTTCGCAAAGCTAGGAAAACTTTATACACAGCTATGGATAAGGTTCGAAGAAAGATTTCAGTCAAAACTTTAGTATGATCGTCCTAACTAAGGGATCCTGACCGATACTTTAAGATCTATCTCAAAATTATTTGAATTTAGGATAGCCATGTAATCTTGTAGTGGAAATTCCACAAGATTCTAGACAGAAATTTTCCTTGTATCTCTAGTAATATCATCATCTGAAACAGTCCGTTATCCCGACAAGGTCACGATAGTAAAATGCGAAGCAGATTTTGAGAGAAATTTGTTAAAACTTTTAGAAGATTCTTATTGTTTTTCCTACGGAGATCCTAACAAAACGACAGAATATTATACGAAAAGAGGCAAGAGACGAGTTCGAACTTGATCAGGTCCTAGCCATTTAGGATCCTGACGAATACAATGACAGAATTGGAGCCTTATTCAGTGAAGTCTATCATGAGTTGTCATAATGCTGAAGAACCACAGCGGAAGCAAAAAATACTCTTTTCGGAACATAAGAATAAATGCCACTGAGAAATATGTAGACTTCACAGAAGTATTCACCATACTTGGCGAGTAGAATAGAGAAAGATAACAGCATCTCTATAATAGATATTAATGTTTGATATCAAGCTCAATTTTTATCAAATACTGTTTCAAACTGAGTATTGCTTGTCGAGTGAGATTGTCCTATTTTCTCGATCCACATTCGATTCATCATCAGATCTCTACCAAACGGAATAGATTATACTCATATCATTGCTTGTACGAACTCGTACAGATGACAACGAGACTGTTTTTTCTTCGTTAAGGTTCTCCCCCGTCAAGCTACGCCACAGGTAGTACTGCTACTGTGCCGAAAGACACAACGGCGTCACCGGAACTCCAACTTGTACAGAAATCAGGTATGTTGCTTGGAACACGAAGTGATTCACTCGTAAAAATGACTCTCTGAGTCTTAGACCTCACATACCGTTGAATGACAAACAATCTCTTTCTATCTACTACCAATCGACATCGTAATGCAAGAGCTCTATCCCACCGACAAAATATACTCTTTCCTATTGAACCAATGCTGGGTGTAAATGTGATTGTGGTTGTGGATGAAATGAATATCCATAGTCATACCCTTCTCGAACAATCCGGATAGTTTCACCTGATTCCATCAAATTGTACAATAAAACCATGAAGTGTCAGAGAAAGCAGTAAGTCCCATAATATTCTAGGAAATAGAGCGATATTTGCATAAAATGTCGCAAGACTCAAGATGACTTCGAAGGAAATGCTAGGATATCAGAGAAGACTCCATGAAAACCTGCAAAATTCTGCGCAGTCCACTAGGTCTGTACGATATTCCAAAGAACGACGACAAATCCCCTGCAGAGTTTGTTGAAATTTCGAGCATAATCACATCACTGAATATTCCATTGAAATTTGAAACACTACTAAAGGCTCCGAAAAATTCCGTAAACTCAAGATAACGGCAGGAAATTCAAGTAAATTCTGTGAAAGTTTACTTAAATTTCACCAAATAACGGAAACTTTCTGGCAACGTTGCAAAATTCGTCAACTCCATCGAAATTCTCAGTAAATATTTCGAGAATTCTTGAAGTGCAGACACGACGATTTGACTATTTTTCATATCACAAAACCGAGACCGACAGGCACTTGCACATTGATAATGACAATTGTCTGAGATATTTTGTTAGATCAAAACTTTCAAATATGATTTCACAATTTTTGTGCCTGATCTGATTGAGCTAATCATGAATATGGTATTCGAATTGAGCTTCGACTAATGAATGAATAAAAGATGAACACTTTTGTGATTCTGATCGCTAAACAACTGCTGCATAGAGACAAAAGTCATTGCTACCACAATAGTCTTTCAAATCGAAGTCGAGAACAGAATTTTCTGATCCATACACCGTCTCTCAGGGTTCTCAGTTTTTTTAACATGAATAAAAAATTCATCTTGTGTTTTGAAGTTAGTCTGATTTCTAGGAGCTGCAAATATGGCTTGTATATGCTCGTGAGATACTTGGCTCACTTTTTTGTTGAAAAATAAAATTGTGTATATGCCATTGGTTTCGAAGTGAATGAAAGCTCTATCATGAAATCATTATCTTGAGACTTTTGATTAGTACTTACAAATTTTAAAAATCAGTTTCGGTAGGAGGGCGTTTATTATCGAGTCAACCACCATACTATTTCTTTAAGCTTCTTTCTAAAGAAAATTGCTTAGAACTTCCAAAGAACATTCAGCGAACAGCTCACAATGCGCGATAAATCAGAAACACTAATGACGAATTCAGATAATCACAAATGACTGCATGTTTTTGCAGTTGAAGAAAACAATTTCTGTTAGACTCCTGAAAATTCGAGGAAAACTTGGACCGATTCTACAAATTAAAAAAAATAAAATTGCTTACATGTTGTGAAATCACCTTACAAAAGAATGAGAAGCCGTCAAAATTCCGCATGATACACACAAAACTTTCAAGATTAGGGACAATCTTGAGGAATCTTTGAAAATCTGCAAGAAGTTCAAAAAAGAAGTGCTCAGTATTCTCTTATGAACACTCAATATTATATTCCCAATTCTCAGTAAACAAATCGAATTATTAGTATAGAATTTAATGTCCGATGACTATTGTGTTTGCTCAGTTAACTAACTTATTGTTTCATCAGTAAATTAATAATCTATTCAATATAAAAACTAAAGTATCAGTAACTGAATCATATTTATTTCTTTTGTAAACGTGAGTTCAGTTTATTCAATCACAATAATTACTACGTAAGGTAGAAGAAAACAAGAGATAACCGGAACGATCACATCTATATGTATATGTATGATAACATAAAGGAATATAGCAAACAATGAAAAGAAATAACTACTGTAGTATTTAACATATGAAAACATAGAAGAAAAGACTGACTATTGAATTGTTATAGTTAATCAAAAAACAAAACAAATAATATGTGATGTATTAACGTATTCAGACAAATCCTTGATAGATAATCATCAAAAGAATGTAGGACGATGCATATCCTCTGAGCTAAATGTTTACTGAATGTAGAACAAGAAAATAAGAACACTACGAAATTTGAAATAGACATAGAACATGTACAGAACCGAAAATATTTTTAGTTCTTTATAGTTTAATGTTTATTTTAAATTGTACATTATGCTAAATTCTGTTGACTCAAAATGTCAACATAACTGATCAAATATCTGAAATAAAATAAACTGCTTAAATCATGAATAATCAATCATTCATTTTTCTATTTCGCTGACATCATTAACTAATTAAATATTAATTTAACTGAAAGTCATCATGATGTTATGTAAATGATAAAAATTTTCAAAAAATTTCTAGGCAAACATGTCATCGGTTCACAATTAGATAAAACAGTTGTAAATCGTCACTTACTGCTAATATAACATTAAAATTGGTAAACAGGAAGTTATGATAGATCAAAAAAATGTACAAAAGCATCATTACTGATGCAATAAACTTCTGTTAATTGTAATTACACTATTGGTTACTGATATAAGCTAATAAAATGTACAAAAATTAATTAAATACGGAATCTTTTCAAATTATTCACTATGCTAAAGCTAATTTTTTTACTGAGCAGTTAAATGCATGCCTTTTTGAGAAACTTCTGCAGAAATATTTCAGTAAACTCAATGTATTCTGGAAAGTTGTTGAAAAAAACTTCAACAAATCTAAGAAAACTCATGAAAATTCCGAGATATAGGGAGAAAATCGCATTAAAATGCAGAAAACCTTCTCATGAGAATTTTTGATAGATTCACAAAGATTTTAAGACCTGGAAAATCTCAACCAAATCCTATGAAAATTCTACTACAATGTGCTGATGAAATTCAACGAGAATTTACTTTTTTTCTTTGTTGAAGATGCTATACCGAATATTCCTGCAAATGCCAAATGGGCACAAAATGGAGTGACTGTCGCCGGAGGCAACGGAAAAGGCGGCGAATTAAATCAACTCAGTAGCCCTTTTGGCATCTATGTGGATGACGATCAAACTGTTTACATCGCTGAATCAGGCAATGACCGTGTTGTCGAATGGAAGTCTGGTGCAAAGAGTGGTCAAGTAGCAGCTGGTGGCAACGGAAAAGGAAATCGAGCTAACCAGTTGAATTCTCCAGTAGATGTGATTTTCGACAAAGAAACAGACAGCCTTATCATCAGCGATCAATTGAATCTACGAGTGTTGCGATGGTCTCGTCAAAATCGAACAAATGGGGAAACTATCATTGAAAATATCGATTGTTCAAGATTGGCAATGGACGATCAGAGATTTCTCTATGTCTCTGATTACAAAAAGCATGAAGTAAGACAATATCGAATGGAAGAGAAGAATGGAATAGTAATAGCGGGTGGCAATGGACAAGGTGATCGTCTCAATCAACTCAACAGACCCTCCTACATCTTTGTCGATCAAGATTATTCTGTTTATGTCTCAGAGTGGGATAACCATCGTGTCACAAAATGGATGAAGGGAGCAATAGAAGGGATTGTCGTGGCTGGTGGTCAAGGTAAAGGAAAGGCTCTAAATCAATTGTCGGATCCCAAAGGAGTGATCATCGATACGCTAGGCACAGTCTATGTGGTAGATAATGGAAATGATCGAGTGATGCGTTGGTGTAAAGAAGCGCCACAAGGAAATGTGATTGTTGGTGGAAATGGGACGGGAAAAGAAGTAAACCAGTTGAAGAGTCCCACAGGTATGTCATTCGATCGACATGGCAATTTGTATGTTGTCGACTATGGAAATCAGCGAGTTCAACGATTCTCAATTGAAAAATGACTTTTTGTTTGTTTTTGTCCTTAACAGATAAGTAAATATTGTTTTTCGATTTCTTTCGTGTATTGTGAGAAAATAAATTTTGTTTTTTCGAAAAATATCACTCTCACAAAGCTGCAGCTTCTCTCTTTCCGCTCCTAATTATACGTTTACGCGCACGTGCACGCGACCAGAGACCATCACCAGTGGTGGAGAAGCGGTCGGCTGGCCATGCACGAACTGGGCAAACCCACACGTTGTATATACAAGACGTGACGGATGTGTGGATCCGGGAGCCAATCGTGTTGCTTCCGTCATCAGTTAGGCACTCTGGGATGTGTCCGAAGACAACACTAACACCCGTCTCCTAAGAATAGAAGAAAAGAAAATTAACTGTCAGATATGATTAAAAGTATTGTTAGATACTGAATATATCGTTACTTCGCGATAAAAGGTGCTATACTTAGTAGCGGCGCCAGGATTTCAGTTCAGGGTGGGCTCATCATGGGTTTAGCCCACCCTAACCTACACAAAGTGTTCTTTTTACATAGCTTTCAAAAT